GGAAGAAAATACGCAAATGAGAGCATGACATTTGCTAATGAGCGCTTCATTTGAATTTCCTCTTCTGCAAAAAACAAACAGTGATGATGTAGCCTATGGCTGTGTATACACTGGTGCAACCTTGCGCAAAAGTGGCTGCTCTTGCGCAAAAACTTGCTGCCTGTCTACACTGGTCACGTGTTTTTGCGCAAGTAAACTGACATTCTAATGTATGAAATCAGGGCTTCTTGCACCAGAGCTCTGACACTCCCGCTCAGGAATAAGCCCTTTTGTGCAACTGTTCTTGCGCAAGAGGCCAGTGTAGACAGGCAACATGAATTTCTTACGCAAGAAAGCCCTATGGTTAAAATGGCCATCAGAGCTTTCTTGTGCAAGAGAGCGTCTACTCTGGCAAGGATGCTCTTGAGCAAAAGCACATCTCTTGCAGAAAAGCACATGTCAGTGTAGACGCTCTCTTCTGGAAGAGTTTTTGCAGAAGAACTCTTCCACAAAAAAGTTTTTGCGTGAGAACGCGCCAGTGTAGACGTAGCCTATTAGTTTATCTTTAACCTGAAGATTGCTCACTGGAGATTCAGGAATAGGAATAGTTAAGAGAAATTAATGGAACTACAAATCAGAGTTTGTCTACACATTAATACTATTGCAAAATAAAGTAGGCTGTGAATTTAGATATTAGATATTTCAGAATAATTGCATGTGTGAAAAGCAAGTATAAAATGTATTTTTAAGTAGTGTCAAGGAACTTCTATTTAGATGCACCCTATTTTATTTTTTTTGGAGGAGGATGTATAAAGTGGAAGAAAAAATTAATTAAAATATAATAATTTTCTAAAGACATTCCTCTCAAAAGTATTTGCTTCAAGTATATTCCACCAAAAGAATGCTCTACTGCAGTGGTTCCCAAACTTTTAATCTCATGCCCCCCCCCTTTACTCCCTAGGAGTAGGGCTATGGCTCCAGGAACTGGGTGGGGGGACGACGACACAGACAAGGATTAGGGGGCTGCGGCCACACCTGGGGCAGATGCAGAACCTTAATCAGCTGCACAGCCCAGAGTGGGTCCTTAGGCACAGGGGATAAGAGCAGATCTCTAGGCACCCGGCCAGCAACAAAGCTGAGTGATACTCTCCCCCTGTGGAAGGTAGCTCAGCACCCAGCCATATTGCCCAAATGTTCCTCTACACCCACTGGGAGCATGCCCCACAAATTGGGGATCTGTGCTCTACTGGTAGTAGTCAGCACTAGCCCAGAGGAACCCGTCTCCTTAACAGACATGCTGATGCCTATTTTTTTTCTTCTTTTTTTTTAATTGATCAGAATTGGAGTTTCCTGAGAAAATCTGGAGGAACTACTCTCTCCTGTATACAGGGTAAGGAGAAGAAGCTGGAGGAGATGGTCTCTCAGTTGAGCACTCCTCCACTCTCTCTTTTAAACCCTCCTCTGATTAATTATTAAATTAGACCATTAAGAATCTTAACTCCTTTAAAAGAGAGACAGAGAGAGTAACTGTTACTTCAACCAGCTCTAGAGCACAGTTCCAGATGCCACTCAGATCTGCCTCCATCTTCCCAAAAGCCAGGTTCCTCAGTTCAGGGACCTTGTCTAATGAGGCGAAAGCACTGGTTAGCAGTGAGCTAATTACAGAGTGACTGGGAGGGAGGACTGGTCCCCTTGCTAGTTTTAGGGGCCACCTCGCTTCTATTTAATGACCCCTTCAGTCTCACTACTGTTTAAATTAAAGCACGATACCTGATATTCAGGGCCACTCTAATCCCCGCCTGCTCCCGGCCAACATTTTGCTATATGAACAATCAGGCCCGGGGCGATTCACTGCGGCCTGGGGGCAGTTGGTCTCCCCAGGGTTGCTCGGTGAGAGCTGGGGGAGGTACCCGAGAGGTCCTGGGAGAGCTGGTCTCTCCACGGTGAA